TTCTGTTTAGTGGCAGGGGAAAAAACGGATTCTTACTAATTTTTGTCATTACTAAAACGTGTACATACTAGAAGAGCATTACTAAAGTATTTTAAAGGTCCTCACCCGTCCTTGTGAGACAGAATTATTGTGTCATATTTTCACCAGACTTTGGAACCAAACACCCTGAAATGTTTAGAAAGAAGCGATAGAAAAATTTAATTGTATATTGTTTGGTTCAGGTAACTTCGGTCATATTCCTTACCGTGCTGTCCAACAGCTTGCCAGGGCTTATGAGGGACCACAAAAAACAAGCAGTGACGTGGGGGAAGGGGTGGAGGTGCGACTGGACTTATGGAGGCGGGTAGGAGGGGGCTGACATTAGGAGTAAATACTACAGACTGTGGAGGCGCTTGGACCACTGGTCCTTTGGATATCACTGGAGACACAGCGCGGACACTGAACTACCCAAAGGCTTTTGGCCAGAGTCCTTGACAAAACGGTGCACGCCTTGCCTTAAGAACGAGGAAGCATCCGATATTTAATAGGTAAGTTACAGGAAGAAGGAGAAATGTGTGAATAGGTTTTCGGCCTTTCTAGCTCGGCGTTTTGGTTTAACTTAAACGGCAGATTAAAACGTGGATATCCTTCAAAACTGCAACAAACGGACACATAAAAAGTTGCGACTAGAGTATTACCGTAGTTTTTGGATATTAGTGCTGTATATGGATTTTTAACGCACGGAAAGGAAACATTCAATAACACTGACAGTGCCTTATTTTAATCGTATTTTATAGCCTTTCACGGCAATCGCCCATCTTACTCTGCCACTACACACAATATATACTGACATGCTTCAGAGCAGCCTCGCTTGATAAGAAAGGAAAGATAAAGGGCACATAGTGGCATATTTTGTTCGAGATAGTATTCGGGCTGTTTATGTATACATTACAGTCGCTATCTGAGATCTGACCAGCGGCACACGTCAAGCACGGCTCTAGCATCATCGCTCAATATCGAGGACTGAACATCTCAATTACCAACATGACGGATGGACCGAGACAAAGAGGGAGCGCAGCCCCGAGCACCAGCGAGGATGGAGCAGCAGACACAGGGAAAGCCGCTGGACAATCAGTGGCTTTGAAGAAAGAGATTGGTCTCGTCAGTGCTTGTGGCATTATTGTCGGTGAGCGTTCAGTTGTTCCTTTAAATATATTTTTCATAGGGGGTTTTAAACGGATGTATGGTCAAGCATGCTCTTGATTGGATAATGCTGAATGGAACTGAAATCTTGCACTCTGCTTCTCTCTCTCTCTCTCTCTCTCTCTCTCTCTCACACACACACACACACACACACACACACACACACTAATCAGTCCTATGAAATAGAAAATAGGTCATTTACGTTGGGACAATCAAAAACAGATATGAATGAATATATAGTATATAGCCCATACATATATACTGGAGGAGCCTAGTATGATGTTTTTTTTTTAATGGCCGCTAATTTAATTTAATCTCATAACGAATGTCAATTTTAATATTTTAAATATTAATCTTAGTTTGTACACAATAATGTTATTGTTATTCTAAAATATTCATGGTCATTATGTTTAACTGTTGCAGTCTAATTATTTTTTTATTCATCGTTGTGATGATCAGTAAAATAATCAGTATGGGTCATACAAAAACTATAGAGCACTATCTCTTGAAGTTAAATATTTCATACAATGTAATGATAACAAATAACATGTGCATGTAAAAGAAAAATATTATTTACTCAAAATATAAAATGTGCACTATGCATTAACAAGGGTGTCAGCAGATTTGGGAACTGACAATTGGCAGAATCACTACTACTGTCACTAGTATGGACTTCTGCAAAATAGGCATGTGCTTCTTCTTCTTTTTTTCTGAATATAACGTTATGGTTTAAAATTCAATTCAATTCAATTTTATTTGTACAGCGCTTTTCACGATACAAATCATTGCAAAGCAACTTTACAGCAAATTAAGTTTCTACAATATTTAGTGGTAGCTTATCAGTGGTGACTGTCAGTTAATGTTTAAAAAACATAAACAAAACAAGAATTTTAAACAAAAATGCATCTGCCATGCCTATGTCAAATTGGTGTTCTTCACTTTCTCTTCTGTCAGCGGTAAAGAAATCAGGTCAGTGGTAGAGAAAACGTGAAGTGAGGTGGAAGCGAAGTCAGGAAATGTGACCAAATTGTCATGTTGGTTATTGCTGAGTACGTTGCAGAGCAATTCTCATTTATTGCTTTAGGCAGCATTAAGCTATAAAAATATATTTGATGTAATGATAACAGTAAATGAAAAGAAAAAACCCAACCAAGATAATCCCAACCCACATTTTAACTGCAGCTATATGATAATCCTCTTCAGCAATCTTGATCAGGTCAGGTCACACATTTACATGCTCTCAGTCACCCCACGTGAACATCATTATCAGGTGATTGTCGCTTCGGATCACTCAAAGCTTTCATCAAGACTTTGTTGTCTGTGTGCTTCTTTAAATTTATCAGAATACTTTATAACTGCTGCCATTCTCATCCTTATCAACCCCTTCAATGTGATATTGAACCCTCATTTACCTGGAAAAGAAGCATGGAACTAAAAAAGTGAACATTTTGTGGATTTTGAATTGCTTAACCCCATTTTTTTAATGTTGATTTTGCTGGATTATTAGATTGGAAACAAGTTTTAGAAGAGGAAAGGTTGACAGATCTTCTGTAGGTGAATGAAAGAGAAAGAGATTGTGAAATGATGCAGATATCAAAGTGCAAGCTGGCCTCAAATGTTACAATGAGATGCTTTTGGATTGATTGGAGAACATCATACATCAAGCTGGTTACAAGCTTGCAAAGTGTTATGTGTGTCAAACTAGATGTAACCAGTCAGCAACTCAATTCCATTATTTTTAATTTCTCAAGTTCTTGATCTGATACAGTCACAATTAAAGGTTGGTAAGCTGATTAAAATTAAATAAAAGTGAAAATCATTGTTATACATAATCAACATTGAATATAATTGGATTGTGAGCTCCTCAACCAATAAAACTAAAGGTCTTGTTCTTTATTTTCTTTCTTAGTTGCAGCTTGATGTAGAGCTGAAAACCAGAGTTGTTAGAATGGGGTTTGTAATGATCATACAAACGGTAACAGATCACAGTTGAACCTATTCCATTCAATGAAAAGAGACAATGTTTTATGCAAATGGCTTGCTTCATTAAACTCTGATTTATATATGTGAATTTGTAAAAGGGAAACATCTGGCTACAGACCCACAGAAACAGTTGAATCAATAGAGGCATGAAAGAAAATCAATAGGACAGTTGAGAGGGATTCGCCTAAGCAAGCACATTTGCAAGAGTAATAAATAAATGTACCAAAGTACCAGTATTGTACATCACTGCACAATAAACGAGCCATGTCTCTGCACAGTGATTGACATACAAATATGATAAGCTGATAGCAAAGAGTGAACTCACTTTAAGGTAAGTCAGTTCACTGCGGCCACTTTGGCGCCACACTGTGTAGCTTTAGTGCATGTAGGCCAGGGGTGGCCAATGTCGTTCCTGGAGTGCCACAGTCCTTCAGAGTTCTGCTCCAACCCTATCAAACACACCTGAACCAGCTAATCAAGGTCTAAGGGTTACTAGAAAGCTACAGGCAGTTGAGTTTTTATGAAGGTTGGAGCAAAACTCTGCAGGACTGTGGCTCTCCAGGAGCGACTTTTGCCACCCCTGATGTAGGCAATCAATGACCTAAATCCTGAATAAAGCTGCAGTCTTGTTAGCGAAATTTCATTGTCTATTGTCAATAGTGTAGTGATATGAAGCACAGCCAACAAAAAGTCACTAACCAAATCAATGTCACTATCTATCAATATTCAATAAAAAACTGTATTTTTAAATCTGGTACAGCTAATTTGCATGCATGTTCTACAGTAAAAAGCCAGATGATGCCATTATATAAAAAGGCTTTGAACTGAAAGGCGTGACTTCAGTGTAGTGTTTGACAAGGCTTATCACAGTATTATTAGGTCAGTGTAAGCAGATTGACAAACTAGAATGTTAAATCAGGGATTGCTGCTGTGTTGCCTGTGATGTTTGTGTGGTGAACACTCACTAGGGAAGCAAAAGGATAGAGTATGAACAGGAAATCCATCTGCATTTTTTCCCACTTGAGTCAGCAAGACTTCTCAATCTACAAGTGTGCACAATCATCTATCAGCCCCTTTAAGGATCACAGCTTAAAACATGTTGATGTCCACATTTCACAGCTATTTTCCATATAGTCAAACAATACTCCAGCTGGCTGATCATGAAACCAGAATCAATCCCTGCAAGCTTTGGCAATAGTAAAAGATACCTCTGATTGTAAAGTTGTGTAACTTGTACTTTGAGGTCATGGGATATGCTGAAGTTTGTGATAATCATATCTTGACTGAGCTTTTTCATACCAGAGATTAAAAGAGAGAACTGAAGAGGGAGAACAACCAAGACAGAAGCTGAAGGATCATGTCTAGTCATGAAGGTTTATGGATATTCTTTTAGATCAGATTATTCTGCATATAAATCGTGACGGCAGTGACTGCAGAGAAGAAGTCATCTGATTACTTGTTTACAGTGGCTATGTTTAGCAGACACTTGTATCCAAAGTGATTTACAGAACATAATTGCAGTGACAATCCCACAGGAAAACCAAGACTAGTTGCCTTACTCAAGGGCACAGAGGTAATAGGGCAGAAACTCTCCATCTCACGCATACCTGAATTTCCACATTTTTATGTGTGACATAAGTATCTATTCTAAATACTTTCTGGGGCCAATATATTTATCACAAACAGCCATGGATCACACAGTATTGGTGCACTACTGCACTAAGTGCACACACTGTTATACAGCTAGACCAATACACACTCCCCCATATATTTGCTGTGTGTACTCACTCCATTAGTCACACTGAATACTAACTCCGCAAATTACAGTCTGCTTTCTGTGAATTGTTCTCACCACCTGCTTTCTCTCTCTTGGTTCTCCCTCCTCCTACCTTCTCTTTTTCTCATCCTCACTGACATTTTCATTTCCTTTTGATTTATACACTGTTCTGCTTTTCTTCAATGTTTTTTGGTTTGTTTTAATATTGCCTGTTTTCTCTTTGTCACTGTTAGGTCTCACTTATCTCTTACATTTCCTTGTGTCACACTGTTATCTCATCATGCATTCCTATGAATTTTAGGGTGCATACATGTAGGGAAGAAATTTAGGGATGCATAAAATTAGGGAAGCAGCATATTGTATATTTATCAGCCAAAATTTGGAATCTATATGTTTCTGTCTATTTTAAGATTCAGATCATCATCTAGCACTAATTTCAAAAGATAAACAAAAAGGCAAAAATTTAACCATTTAAGTGAAGAATGTTTTATCTTTAAGAGCACTTTGGAGTGAATTATAGTTATTATAGTTTTGTGTACTATTGTGTTTTAATTTACTTTTTTCAAATACAAAGTAGTATAGATTTATAATATGGATCATAACATAAAAATAAGTATCGACTTAGAGGTATTGGACGGAATTTCAAAATATGTATCCCTAATGCATTCCTACAAATCTAAAATCTCTTTAAATCCTTACTCAGGATAAGGTCTGTTCCATTCAAATGGCTTTTAAATTGGAGCACTTTATTAGATTCATCAAGCAAGCACATTTGCAAGAGTAATAAATAAATGTACCAAAGTACCAGTATTGTACATCACTGCACAATAAACGAGCCATGTCTCTGCACAGTGATTGACATACAAATATGATAAGCTGATAGCAAAGAGTGAACTCACTTTAAGGTAAGTCAGTTCACTGCGGCCACTTTGGCGCCACACTGTGTAGCTTTAGTGCATGTAGGCCAGGGGTGGCCAATGTCGTTCCTGGAGTGCCACAGTCCTGCAGAGTTCAGCTCCAACCCTATCAAACACACCTGAACCAGCTAATACATCCATTTTTGGAGTTCATGGTGAGGATTGAAAGCTTATATGGTGACATGCCAGCTCCACTTTTTTCACACTTGAATCCACTTCTCTAATTCTGTCCTGCTTTCTAAATTAACTCCCATTTCTAATACCTAACCTCTCTATTTTCTCTTTTACAGGTAATATTATTGGCTCTGGAATCTTTGTCAGCCCAAAGGGAGTGTTGGAAAATGCCAGTTCAGTGGGCCTGGCCCTCATTGTATGGATCGTCACAGGCATTATAACAGCGATCGGAGCACTCTGCTATGCTGAGCTGGGTGTTACTATCCCTAAATCTGGAGGCGACTACTCTTACGTCAAGGACATCTTCGGAGGGCTGGCAGGGTAAGTAGGTGATTTACTATTAGTAATGCAAACCTTAGTGTGTAGGGAATTTCAACA